TAACCACAATAATGCATCTGCTCAGGTGTACGATTATTTCCCGTACTTCACTCTGGTGTGTTTGTGTGACGGGGGCGGGGGCGGGGGGCCCAAGAGAGGCCGGGACAAGTATTGTGGAAACGGCCGCAGCGACAACGCAAACATTGGGGCAACTAGTTTCAAAGCAATGTTCGTTATCGGCATTGATCAGAACAGGGTAGTGACACTCCAAACCCTACTGACCCAATCCGTCTCGCTTATTTTGTGATCAATTAGAATGTGACCTTGTCATGTTCAACGTAAACGATTTCTCCCAAAATCATTTACGTGGATTGTTGTAGTTTAATAAACCCATGGGGACAGGAATGTTTAGATGCATAAATTATTCACTCATCGTTTCCGTTGCCTGATGTATCCGAGCTAAAAGGCAATGTATTCCTCCACCTACCCCCACTCGCCTACAGTATGTGACCTGCGTTATACGGGTTGAAGTGAGGTGGAATCGATGCAGTCAAGTGTGAAATCCGACAATCAGTTTCTGTTTAACTGTCACATGAGTGTATAAAGTTGGTGTCCCCCTCCCATAGGCACAAACTTTGTGTATTCAATATACACTCATGTAAGTCAATTATCAATTAATGTCAATCATATTCCTATTACGCTGACTGTCACACTGCTTTAATAATCTCATTATTTGTATATATTAGCGATGAAATCGGAGAACGGATAAAACAACCAGATGCGAATAAGTGCAATCAGTGCTGCACACTGTACTGTATTATTATTATCAAATGGATCCTATTGGGACAGATAGTCGAAGCTCGAATCTGCGCCAGATACCATTAAACGCATGCGGTGGCATCACTTTCAGGGAAACTGGAATAACGGAACAGTCTATGAGTATGTGTTCTCACGTTGGCGTACGGTGTCCACCCATGGTCGGTTCAGTTGAATTAAACTTACTTTTAAAAATAATTTTATTGAATAAAACCGATCATGAAATATGATAGTTTTGCTTGGTGTATATTTTCTGGACATTCAGAGTACTTCTTATCCAGAATAAACGCCTTCAAACACTCAAGTACAATACAGGTTAAGTGGTAATCATCAAACCTGCACCTACCTTCACCGACGATCACTGAAGTTTGAACTTACGCATTGTTTCTTTGACGAAAAGACAGCGGGAATCGATTAGTCCTAATTGTCCACCTATACATAAACATTATTCTTACCTCGCATCGTTGGCAAACACAAATAAATTGAAAACTAAGAGTTTTAAGCTAATGGTAATGAATTATTTCCCGAAGTAGCAACGTGTGGGTGAGCGCAATCATCAAAAATATTAATGCCTACATGCTAAACCTAACTATTCTTATACGTCCTTGGTTAGCAAGCACATCATAATTAGTACTACCTCAGATGTTGGCCGAGCCTCATAAATCGATGCCCCTGACATGTACTGAGCTTTAATATTCGAGGTTCTAACTCTGCCAAGGCCATCCAACTTTGGAGATAGACAATTAGGCTTTCAACCTGTTCAGTACCACATCCATCCTTCGGGATCTCCATGGGGCTCGTAATTGTTAGACACAAAGCCGAATTTGCCGGATTCTCATAACTGAACAGTTGGTTTTCTCAAATACTTGGTTCATGCAAATATGCAAAAAGTGCCCCTTCAGGTGAATTGAGTCGAACAGACTAATATACAACTCCAACACTGCTTAGCCATAAACCAGATCTGTGGATTTAGTTTAAGCATAAATATACTCACAAAGTTTGGATTCTATATTCGATGAAGTAAAAGTTGGGCTTTCGGGGACTTGAAAGTGCATTCGTCAAATTTCCCTAATCGTTCCACACATTATGAATTATCCTGTAATTTCTGTACTATTACTGTCTTCCTGTTGACTTTTGGTCAGGTCATCAGATTTGATGGAAGCAATCCAATGGCAAAAGCGTTGGATGTATTTACGTCGATCAATGGGACGAGATAATGGTTGGTCGGAGTTTAAAATTTTATTGCACGTGTTCCCGGGAAGTGGCAGGCTGTCCCGGATCTTCACAATGCAACTAGAATGATAGATCTTTGGGAGACGCGCTGTTCACCAATCTGTTACAAATACCAAAATATTAATTGGTACATGAATAACTACAATCGATTTTTTCAGCTTAATTACTTTGAATAGTTTATTTCCTTACTATTAGCGTAATGCTTGTAACCTGATTATTCAGTTGCACTGGTGCTTCGATTTAACATGTTATAGGTTAAAACTGGTAACAGCGATTCGATCAATCCGGGCTTTTACTTATTTATCTTAGCCCTGCACAATCCGAACTACTGCATTCAACACAGTGATTTCTGTTGTACTTTTGTTTTTGCTTGTAGTTTTTAATTCTTCAGTCGTGGTTATCCAGCTTTTACCTGTGGTTTTTCAGCCCTCGATCAAGAATTTTAGTTCCGATGTCAGTTTGTCAAGTTGTGTATGAATCCCAACAAATACGTGTTTGTATTCATCAGAAATGCGCATCATCTTGGTGTCTCTTGTGAGCAGTAGACATTCAAATTTGGAACCGGAACACTTGCACAGGTTCTGTGACCGTGAGTTCGCATGAAAATGAAGCAAAAATGTTTCGCAATTCACTCAGAGATCATGATGAGAAAATATTCAATCAGTATTGATTTGTTTAGTGCGAAGCACACAAACAAGTCATGATAACCAGGCTGCACTTTTATCTGACCAGAATGTCAATCAGGTTTACGGATGAGGAGACGATCAATATACCAATACCTAATATTGGAGATTCCTGGCTCATCAATCAGTTGGACACTGTAACAACCAAAATCACACGACGATCATGGTTTGCGTTGCCACCCGAAGCGCCAAACCTTATCTAGTCCACGACTGATCGAAGTACCGATATACTTCATCAGTTGAATCTGTCCTCACACGCTGTAAATGTTGTTTTATCAACACGGTATCGGGCGAATGCCCACGCTGGGAGACATCTTTGTGCTAATTTGCAGGTAACCTGCTGCCAATAGTAACCTGACAGAAACAAAGGCTAAAAAACTGTGCCAGAAGGAAAATAATCCAGGGTAATACTGTATATGCATTTTAAATACCATTGTTTATCCTTTTAAAAAATCATCGGAAAAACATACTCATGCAATCAGTTACGAATGAAATCCCGTTGAATCACCTTCCATGTGAGCATTTCAGGGTCTTGAGATGGTTATTTCATTTGTTCCGCGTGAACACAACGTGACACAGTATTGTCACTTTCGTTGGTCGAATTAGGAGTCAAACAATGTCAGCCACGTTGGTACTTGGTAGAATACCAATAACAGTGAGCGGAAGACTCTCACCCGATGAGCCAAATTCAATGATTTGTAAGCATACATGGATTTGGAACCATCAAGCACTGCATTTTAGCAAATTTTAACTGTGACTCCACCGATTGTTGTAGCTTTCGTTAGAATAGACTTGTAAAGGTCCGCGCAATATAACTGTATCATTTTCGTCTTTCAACTGAAATATGGCAGATAATTTCAAGGGATTCAGTCGTGTAGCCTCAAATAGGAATACAGTCTGACTCTGTTCCATGTGAAAACTTGGAAATATTAGGTATCGAATACAAATAATATTTATCTGTGGAGTTAAGGCAATCATGCGTAAACTACGAAGATCTCAATTATCCTTCCTATTCGTACTGTATTCGAGAGAAACAAAATTGCTTCCCCAGTTTTATTTGATCTCATTATCAACCATGGTGTATCTCCTGGCCATCTGAGGCATCAGCTAAAATTGTGTAGTCCATTGGGGATGCGAAGCATTTCGTACTCTGATTGGTTTGCGGAACTTAACACCGATTGGTTCATCGTTTTGAGCAATGGAATTGCGGCCTGTTAACTTCCCTTCCAATCGATCTCACCCCACGAACCCACACACTCCCCCCTGTTCCCCTTTTGATTCACCGAAACTCATAGATTCCATATGACAAGGGAGCGTGGGACCACTAGCACTTTGAAGAGAGGGGGGTTTGACGAGGGAAGTCGGTTGCTCTGTCTGTGGTCGGGGATGACGCGGCAAAATACAAACAGAAAGGTGGCGGGTGGGGCTGGGCGGGGGGGGGAGTGAAAGGGAGAGAGAGAACAGGCGTAATTTACAGACTCAGGAAGCAAGATCACCACTATAAAAGCTCCTGGAAATGTGCTGAAGATTAGGCCATTCGGACTGCTCCATTGCTTTC